TATCCTTAAAAATTACCTACAAGAAGGATCCTCATACTTAATATAATTCTAACTTTTCATTTTTCTTGAGTACTCGTGTTTAATGCATATTCAACAAAAGTAATATAAAAATTCGACCCTTTAAACAAATGAAAGCATTTAACAATAATTAATTATACTTTTGTCCAAAACATATTTATATCTGACATTCATCCCAAATTAGAATAATTAGAATAATTTAGATATTATTAATTGGACAGAGATCAGAGAGATAATTAAATTGCTGGTAAAAAGTAAGGCTGAAATACAAAATACACCCCTCCTTTCATCAGATATTTGTATTTAGTCGTACTTATTTTTTCCCTTTAATTATTTGTTAATTGAATAGAACTTCATTTTCACAGATAATTAATATTTAAGAGCTTAAACTGCTTAAAAAATGTTGTAATCCAAGAACCTAAGCCGGTCCAAGAGTTGAAAAAAATGAATAACAAAAAATTAATAGAAAAATCTTTAAGTTGGGTTGACCACATTCTTGTAGAGATGATTGCTGTTGAAAGGAAATACATATTGCAGGGAGCATGTTCTGACTCATAGCTGTCATTAGAAATACTAAAAGGTTAAGCAAGTATATAAAATATCTTTGAATGTTTTTTTTTTTAAAGGCAAATATCTTTGATTGTGATTAATAACAAACAATAATTTCAATGTGATGTTTGTGGATTTAGTGCTAAAACTGATATTCCCTTTTCGAAAACGACAAAGATTCTCAACCTTTCTAAGGGATTTTTCTCGATGGAAGAATGAAAAATGGTTGTAGAAGAAATTAAAAGAAAATAAAAAACATGAAGTTGTTTGAATGATTAAGGACGTTTAACTCAAAGTTTCCGTTAGCTTCTTAATGTACCTCATGTGCTCTCACATGCAATGCCATTCCTCGCAAAGAACACTGGACATATCGTTATCATTAGGTAAAGACTTAAAGGCTGAATTTGGAAAAGATTCAACTAACAGAAAAAAGGGTTGCTCCAATCGCTCTTTTTGATATTGATTGCCTAATTGTTTCTTTTCCAGCAGAGCATTGTTCCCATTGATCAGGCTTTCTAGTGAGTTGATATTGGACAATCATCATTCAGAAGACACAGTAAGAGAGAGAGGAGCACGCATTTTCTGTACATGTTTCCTGCTTTCTGGGTAGGTATCCAATTCGATCAGTTTCAGATTCCCAGCCCAGACCAAAAGAGTCATGAAGACCACGTTTCTTGCATTTTCTATAGAGGAGAGGGCTCCAGAGCTATGCAAAATTCTATCGAGTTTAAACATTTTAAAGACATTATCCACACCATACATGAACCATATACACAGCTACGTAAAATTCTATATATGAATTGATTACAATTCCTGGCAACATTCTACTTTTTAAGCAAGAGATTATACATAATTCAGGAAAAAGAAATTAGCAATTGGTTCTGCTCATATGGAGATGTTTAGTTAGAGTTCTCTGAGTTTTAATATGGCCAAGCTTTTTATTGTCAATGCTCGTGTATATATGATGCTTTCCATTTTTGCAAAAGTAGGACCAGAACATATATGATGATCCACATTCCAACAAAGAGCACTTTCATTGAATCCAACTTGCTTTCTCTTCCTTTTATTTTCACGAAGTGCACCGATGACCCCTCAACGTGCAAAGAGTTGATGATTAGAAATGGTAAAGTAAGCTTTTATTTGTTCTTTGTAACCATGTAAGTGGCAATGAGATTTTGATGGACATATGGACCTACCAACAAAAAAATGATCAAATAGTAAAGTCCCCTCATGCTGCATGTACAATTATATATAACTTTTGGATACGATTAAGAACCATTGGTGTGAATCTTTCTTTGCATTTGGATTAGAGATTGGAAATAGAGGCGAATGCATATGTTGAAGTAGGATATTCATGAATACCCCTAAAAATTGTAAAATAAAATAATTTGAAGGAAAATTTTCCTTAAAGCACTCAAAAATTTTCGCACGACATCTTTTTTGTTAATAAAATTAATATATCCGAATAATTTTTTATATATATTATAAGTAAAACCTTGAAAAATTCCTAAATTCATTAGTGTTTGAAAAGATTTAATTTTCTGTTTAAAACTATAGTGTCTGATGGGAAGATAGCCAAAGAAACTCAGAACATCCGATCGTTATTAAGAAATCATTAAGATGCGGTTGACTGAACATTGAAGGCCAACAAATACCAAACATGATCATGAACAATTGATCGAATCCACAAAGTGCTGCATGCATTTTTCAAAAGGAATATAAAGCAGAAAATGCACTCAAAGCCTAAGGCAGCTAGTGCAATTATTAGAATTAAAACACTAGAAATATAAAAGGAAAATTATCTGCAACAACAGGCGCTGCATATGAAGATTCTATATTCACATGTAATCTAATCTGCTAAACCAAATTAATATTTCATTAAGTCATTGCTACATGCTGCAATCGTGCTTAATTTTATTCAATTAACATCAAAGTCCTAGTCATTGATAATTTAAGAAGGGAAGCATATAACTTCCAGAAACGAATTAAAGAAGACAGCAAAAGACAACTCCCTGGAAAACCAACAATATTGGTGGAGGGAATTAATTTCGTTAGAATAAATTGAAATCCTACCTATCCTCTATCCCTTTCTTGATTTGCAACAGGCAGATTACCAAAAATCACATGGTTAGTTATCATTACCAATTTGGCAAATGATTACATGACGTCAGTCAGTCGTCAACAGCATATATATATATATATATATATATATCAAATATCAATTTCTTATAAATTTATGTTAATTATGACATGAACATTACATATCATCCTTTGCTCATTTTCATGATCATGTTGAGCTTTTTGTTTTCTTTTCTTTTTAATATATAATTGTTCATTATGAGCCATTCCAGTGGTCCTCTCATCACTTGGTTTATTTTTGGGGCATGATAAAAAGATAACGGATGGAAGGCTGAGTCCTACAATTATGCCCAGACGAAGCTGGTGGTGAGAGCTGTAATTCCCAACACTAAATTTTTTCTTTCACAGAGAAGACCTTTTTTTTTAACAGTATAGTGGCATCATGTAATGTGATGTCACTTTATTTTTATATTTTGTTGTGTTAAACTCATTTGATCCCTTGACTGTATCATTTCTGGCAAATTGATATTTAAAAAATAAAAATTCGTAATTAAATACTTGAAGTTTACTTTCATTACACACTTCAATCTTTTGGCTAAAACTGTTAATCAACTAATTGATATGCCCAAAAGATCACATCATTTTTAATTTCGAAATTAAAAAATAAAAAAATCTGAAAAAATGGCTTAAAGATAAAAAAGGCTTGAATAAAAATTTCATTATCATCTAAGTTTTTATCATTTAATTACAGTCAATTAAATTCTTAAACATTCAACTTCACTTCATTAAACCCTTAAATAATTATTTTTATCTAACTAAACTCTCGAATCCATGGAAATTAAATACTTGGCCACTTAACGTTGAAGGCCCTTAATCAATTTCTATTTAAAAACATATTTAAGTGAAAATAGATATTTGAAGATTTAATTGTTTGGAATAAAACATTAAAATCTTAAATGATTATTTAATTTTAATTCAAGAGTTTTTATATTGAAATAAAAAACATTTTGGATTTTTATTTTTTAAATTAAAAATTAAAAAAAATCAGGTTGATAGAAAATGGAGAAAAGAAAGCAAAAGGAGGGGAGAAAGAGGAAGGGGAGGGTCGATGGCGGTAGGCCAACTCGGGGCGGATCAGGACCACATTCTGGACGTATTCCTCACAGCTTCATTTTTTTTGTTCCTTTCTATTGCGCCTTGGTTATGCTATCCACATTCTCTTTCAACTCATCTTGTCTGCATTCAGCTATAGTTAACCGAGGGGCTATTGACAGGTACTGCCAGTTCATATAAAACTAGCAGTTTGCAACAAGGTAAAAGGGGCAGCTTTCAGTTTTGTCCCATGTTATCTTGGGCATATGCCTTCCTTACTACTAATCGTCTAACTCCTGTGACCTATAAAATTCAACTTCTTTAACAAATACACATTTCATACCAGATCGTTGAGATTAAAAAATGCTTAGTTTTTTTGCACTTTCCTTCAAAAAGAATCTCTCAAGGTGTGCACGGTAGAGGAGAAAAGTGACGATGGATAGGGTAGGATGGAAAAGTGAAAAGAAAATGAATTTTGAGTGCATTTGGTATAAAAGAAAAAAAAAACTATTATTTTTCACATTTATTCGCAGATACAATTCATTCCAAATTGAGAAAAAAAAATAGAGTTGTAAGTATTACATATTTATAAGATTATGTATCTTTTTAAAATTTTTTCCTTTATGTAATGGTAAAATCATATAAATTTTTTTATTTTTCAACTCTACATTTTCTTTCAACTTTTTTATCTTTCCAACCAAACACATTAATATAAATAAATAAATAAATAAATATATATATATATATATATATATATATATTGATCTTTTCACTTTTCTTTCCTTCCACCATCTTAATTTCTTATTGGAAGTCACTGGAAGCAACAAGGGAAATGCTGTCGATAAACGCTAGCATGTAATCCACTTGGAATCCTGAATATTTGAGACCCTTGCATGACTTCCAATATCCTCTACCTGTATTTTTTAACCTCCGCTTACAGTAAGAAATTAAGCCCTGGATTTCTCTACTCTACAATCCTAAACTAAACAGTTACCCAAATCTTAAGTTCCAGAGGATGAGAAGAAAACAAAGGAAACTGACAACGTTAAGTATTTGTAACCGTAGAGCAAGCATAAAACAGAATAAGGCAAACATTACTGTCATGAACTAAAAGAATGCAGAGTAGCATAGAATGCCATCAATTTGGAAAGTGAAAGGTGTTGCACCTGAGTATTTGGCTCACTCATAGCTGCAGTATTCCCCTTCTCCAAAAGAGTAGAGTTTGATTCCCCTTCCTCAATCAAGGAAAAAAATGAAAAGAGTTATGCCAAATCACTTAGATATAACTTGGAAAGATTAGACAAGCAAGAGATAAAATGAGTCATGTGAAGTATGCAGGCATACATTTTATGATATTACACTTCTTAAGCATGATCTAAAAGCCAAGAAACAGTTACTGCCCAGAAAAGAGAAAAAAAAAAAAAAAAAAAGACAAATGAAAGCGTGTTCCAAAAGCTAGCTATTTTTAACTCTAAAATTTATAGCCATCACCATCTGTTTGGAAGTCCAACCAAAAGGTTCTGCTGGATTTGCAGCAAGGGCAAAAAGCAACTTCAAGTACTAAAGTAGCTTCAAGATTTTTTCTTCCTAAAACTGAACTTCCATGAGCCTTTTGATGATGAGATTTCATGTAGATCAGAGTAACATGTTTACTGGAGTTGATTTTATTCTTGGGTCACAATACAGAAGCAAAGCAAACACCATGCCGATAGGGTCCAGCAAGGTCACTCTTCAACAACATTAACCAGTTCATATTCGATCAGTGACAGATTGTTATCTTCCTTCACTGTGAAACTAGCAGATTCAGCAACCTCAACACGACCCCACTTGTCTACTGCAAGCCTCATCGATCCCTTAAACATGTCAATTTTCGCATTGCGAAGAGTTACGGTAGTACCCTCTTTCATTAAGTCCACTACAAAATAAAGATGGTGTTAGTGTCAATTAAGACTGTAATTTTCAAACAAATAACGTATGTTTTATCACCTTCACTGTCTGATAATGCCACATAATGAATAAAATATCAAATCACAGAAATCTTTAAACCATTGAGGAAATATATTTATAATCACTACTAAGGAGGATCACATATCTATGAAATTTCACTCCCCATTTCAAATTGATTCAGGAAAGAGGTTTTTGCATCAGTAAGAAAGAAAGGGGATAACGATCGATAATTGAATTCCATCATAACTATATGCAGCTGAATGCACATGAAAACCGCAAGTGTAAGCTCTCTGAGCTCAATAATACATCAGAATAAAGTCTGACATCATAATTGATGCCATATAATATTTGCACTGCTTAGACAGAGAAATAAACAACCTAGAAGCCTTAGCTTAACAAAAATACTCAAAGGGATATTTCATATTTCATTCAGTAACAACAATCCAAAATTATTCCATACTGAAGATTTGCAATATTCTTTCCCGATATTTATCAGTAATCAAGCTAGCTTTGGAACTATAGCACTAGTTGGTACTAAATGAAATGAGGAATAGTGAATGGATAAAAGTCACCACACCTTGGATATGTTACTACAAGTCTGGAAGCCCAAGATAAAATAAAAAGGAATTGAATAATCATTACATGCAGAAAACCTTTAGTTGTTGAAATGCATAACCCTGAAAGGTGCATACCCTTAAAATGTGCAAACTCATATCAGCCATGATATTTGAACACAAACCTGACCAAATAAGCTAATAGTCTAGGATAGTGAAAGGCACAACTAGCATTTATTTCATTCCAAGTCACTATTAGCAAAAGAAAGCCAAGATCAAACTTAAAGTAATTGAATAATCATTATATACAGAAGGTCTTTTGTTCTCAAAATTCATTAACCCAGAAAATGCATACCCTTAAAATGTCTGAATTTATATCAGCCATGATATCTGAAGACTAACCTGACCAATTAAGCTAATAGTTTGTCATAGCAAAAGCCACAACTAGCATTTATTTCATTCCAAGACAGTATTAGCAACCTTAAATAGGCATCCTTCACAGAGAAGCTGTGTTAAAGGAATTTTACCAAACCCCAATATTTATCTCTTTCCTTCTACAAGGCAATAAAAAATATAATCACATCAAATTTCAATTTACTTCAATGACCAGAAGTTGAACTATATAAAACCAACGTTGCGTTACTTGTCTAAAAGAAAAAGAGAACTACAATACAAAAAGTGATGAGTGGTAGCAAAATTGCCTGTGAGAGAATAAAATCAAACTTAAAACTAAATACAACATGGTAAGATGCAAGACAAGTGAAGCCACTAGCAATAACAAAAGCAAAACTATTACCAAAATATACCTTGTTCATTTCTAGCGGTAAAGATAATCATTCCTGTCTCATCTCCTACCAAGCATTCAGCAATTCGCATTTGACGAGCTTGAGGACCATCAGCACGACCCTTCTGCAATACCATCTTTGTACTGACAACCTTGACAGTAAGAGTATGACCACTAGTGCCAGGGCGAAGTTGGTCCACCTTGGTGAAAATAGGTTTTCTCAATGGCTTCGATTCTGCCATTTCAATACCTTTAAAAAAAAAAAAAAGGCAATACAGATCATCAGCAAAACTACAAGAAAAAACAGCTTTGAGAAAAAAAATTGCACCACATAAAAAAGGACTCTTAAGTCTTAACCATGGCAGAAGTGGGGAAATTACAACAGATGATATTACCACATTCCACATTTAAATTTTTTTCAAATCTAAACAACTAAATTTAAATGAGTGAAAAAAAATGATTTGAAACTCCAATGGATTTTTTAACAAAATTCATGATCCAAACAGTTCGTTAAAAGGCACAATTAAATTTAGCATCCGAAGACAATAGTTTGGTCTACGTCACTTGAAATTCCATCTAATGAGACAAAACAACTCTAATCATAATCAATAATTTTAGATAGAACAGTAAATCCCTAGATTTTTCCTAAACGTTAAAGATTTTAATAGAAAAACAGACATATTAGAGAATAACAGGAATGAAATCTAAAGAATCGGAGTCCTCTGATTCTCGTTTCTGATAATTTCACAGAATGGTAATAAACGACGGCAAAATTTTCAAATGAAATACAAACGAAAAAAGAAAAAACCGCAAATTGGAAAGAAAATAAAATTAAAGAACAATGTGAGTAAAAATTAGGGTTTTGAAGATACCTTTGGAGATTTGGAGAGCGAAATCTAATCGATGATTACAGACAATGACTTAAAGATAACGAGAGATCTGTTTGCGACACTAGACTTAACGTTTGGAGTAGTCAAAGTCGGCCTTTGAAGTAAAGGTTTTAGCATCAATATCCACCGTTAATCTCCGATTACATTTGTGCAAATCGTACTTGTACACGCAACCATATCTATTTTAGATTAAGGGGGTAAATTTGGCAATATACTTTACTTTAATGTTAAATTTTAGAGGATTTTAAATAGAGGTGAGTAATTAGATTAATCAAAATCGAGTAAATTCGGTTGAATTAATTTGATTTATTTAATTTTAGTTATAATTAATTTTTTAAATCGATTAAATTGATTAATTTGATCAGTTTTTAATTTTTAAAATTAATAATCGAACTGATCGAATTAATTGATTTTTTAATAAGTAAAAGTAAAAAATATTGAAATAAAAATTTTTATTTATTTTTTTCTTGTAAAATATTGTTGAAATTATTAAATTCTTTAATCATTTAGTTTAAATGATACTTGAGTTTGAATTTTATTAAATTAAATTTGTGGTTAAATAATTATTCATAATAAAAAAATGATAAAAAAAATTAGTTATTTAATCAAGCCCACTGAATCAAACCGATTTTGGTCGATTAGGTTATGGTCAGTTATTTAACAATATTCGATCAGTTCAATTATTTGTTAAATGAAAGTTGATTAAATTGATTATTGATTTTTTCAAATCAAACCAATCGAACCGACCGATTACTCACCCCTACTTTTAAATAAACCATGAAAATTTTCTCTACACTATGAATTTTCTTTCAAAAATACCTATATAAAGGAATTTTAAATACACCCAAAATTATACTCTTAACATTCCATTATTAAATATACCTAAAATTCAAAATTAAAATTTTTCTTGTTACCAAATACACTACATCCCTTAAAATATCATTTCCCTTCGTACTCTCAACATTTTCTCTCTATCTCTTCCTTATTCTACTAAACCTTAACTCAAATCAACTCCAAATTCCATCAACCTAACCTTAAATTCTTTTTTTTAGTCTTTCACTGATTATAAGTAAGATTGCTTGATTTATTTCACTTGATTTGGTTTAAATGCGTGCGAACATAAGTTAGGGTTTATGAAATGGTTTTTGTAGAATTTGACCATCTCAAAAATAGATTTTCAAAAAACTTTAAAGACTCTTAAAAATAAATTTTTGAAAAGTTTTAAAGGCTTTCGAAAATACATCTTTGAGAAGCCTTTGAAGCTTTCGAAAAAAATTTTCAAGAGTTTTAAATACATTTCTAAAAGCCTTATTTTCAGTCAATTATTCAGCAAATGAATATAATTATTTTTCTTATTAGACCATTAATAATATTGATTAATAATAAGTGAATCAATAACAATAGTGATTAATATTGGACCATCAATAATGATGTTTCTTTTGAGTTTAAGGTTTGTTAAATATTAGAGCATCAATAATGAGTTTTTTTTTTTTTTTTTGTTACAACTATGGCTTATACAGGAGGTGGAGGTATTCCTAAAAAATGTAGAAGTATCAGGGCTAATCCCTGTCTAAGTCAAAAACATCCAACTACCTCCAAAAATTGATGCCAAGTGGAAGAAGGTGAATCGAATTACGTATTGTCAATGACTTCCTTCAAGCTGAGCCTTCCACTACATAGTATAAAGGGCCTGCTACACCGACCACATATAAGCATCAGATGGTATCATTTTTTAAAGGTCCAATTGATACGTCGATTCTTTTAAATTTTGGATCTTATGTTGTATTCTAGATTTAGAATGGTCAAGTAAATCGTGTTAGTTTGTTTTTAAAGTGCTTTGGTTAATTGTTATTGTTTATGTTGTTAATAGTGTGATGTTGTTGTTAATCTTATTATTATTGTTGTTGTTGTTATTATTATTTATACATGACCGAGATACATTGGAATCAATTAACCTATGCCAAAGTTACAACAATGGCAACTAGACGATATATGCAACAAGATCCAAGCCTATGTTGTCCAGTTGAGGTTGTTGTCACTAATTGATTGCACCTATCATACCATCAACAACACGATAATGCCAGCAGTTGTTAAAAGGTGGTAGTCGGAGATGAATACCTTTCATATGCCATTTGGAGAGATGCTAATCACGTTGGATGATGTGTTCACCCTTTTACACATACCAATTACTGGGATCATGATTTTAGTGAATCATTTAACGATTGCTAAAGAGAACATAATACTGAAAAATGTTACTTAGAGTTTCTTACAAGAAGACTAGACTAAAGACTGAATAGGCTAAAAGATCTACTATTTAACTCTATTGGCTATAAGATACCTTTAGGCATGTCACCAATGCATCAGATGATGAGACTATTGTTTATGCATCCCAAACATTTTTACTCTATTTGCTAGGGTGTACACTAATGATTGACAAGATCGTTACAAAAGTATCGGTAGTGTATTTACCCTTATTGATTAACCTCACTATCATGGGTAGCTATGCTTGGGGGATAGTTTGCCTCACTTATTTATATAGGCAGTTTGGTATTACAAACAGGGCAAACATGCATTAGATTGCTAGATATTTGACAATTATCTATTGTGTATTTATAATTAGTAAAAAATATTATAATTATTTGATTTATTTATTATTACTCATAAATGTGATTATCTAATTAAATATTACTTATGTATTTCGTGTAAGCGTGAATTTATGACGCTTTCCATTATTGGATCCAATTACTATATTGAAATACTTAGACAATCTATCGCATACTTAATGATGAAAGTTTGTACTTATTCTGATACGCTACAAACCTTATGAGAGCTTCTGGATGGGTTGAGAATATCATACATGTACTGAAACCATACATTGACGGATAAGAGGCATATCCATTACACTGGATATATCAAGTACGAGGCAACTATAAAAATGTATCATCTGGAGAAGGTTTTACAACAGTTCAATTCTGTATAGACTATTTGTTCGAGTCTATTGGCCTCCTCCCATGCTAATTGAAAAGCATCATCCAACCAATACGATGTGGCATATAACTTACTACACTAGTGCTGGGAACAATGAGATATGCATAGTACCGATTAAAAGTCAAGGCTGAAGATATCAAAAACTGAAAAAGTGTTCATTCGACTATGATGCCTAGTTCTTAGTAATTTCACACTTTCAAATTCAAAATCTAGAGCATCAATCTAAATTCCAGCCTCAACCCAGTGGATACTGCAGATATCAATGATTTAGTAAGTTCCAAATTTTATCATTTATGATTTTTTTTATTAATTGTGAATTTTGATTATATAATATCAATATTGATGACCTTATTAATATTTTATAGTGAAGCTTGATCGCTTTATCTTTCATTAATCATGTAATGGTTGATGGATTTAGTCAGAGTATTAACTATTGGAAAAATGCATTTATCAGAGTACGAACCATACTAAATGAGTTTGGCCATACTGTTACAGGTAGTAGTAACTAGTCTACACCAGTATCAACTTTTGCACCATCAGTTCACACATTTAAATTGCCTAGACCAACCATGCTCCCCATGCCTTCTTTATCCACAGTCCCATCGACATTGATAGCTTCGAGCCCACTCTTACCTACTACATCCCCAATCCCATCAACAAAAGTTCCTTTTAGCCCGTTAGTGCTTACGTCGTCCTCACCACCAGCAATAGTGACCATAGCATCATCCTTACTCAACTCTTGCCCCAACAAATATAACTGTATTGGCCTTACTGGAGAGTTCCACACAGATAGTAGAGCCCATTTATCCACTGCATGTATATCTTCAACTCAAGAGGCCAAGAAAGAGGTCAAAGGATAAGGATTAATATATTTATGATTATGTACTGATACTTATTTTATATTTAGTTAATTATGTTTAGATACTAATTTTATATTAAGTTAATTATGTTTATATTTAGTTTATATTGATAAAATATTCGTTAGATTATTACTTATTCAATATGACATATTTCATTAGATAACATGTTTAATACAATAATCGTCCATTGGATAACATGTTCAATATGTAAAGCATAAATAAATCTAAACCATAAACACTAATATAAACTATTAACAATTATTACAAAAAATAATTAATCAATGTCTATTGTTTCTTGAATAGTCATATTAGAATTTGTACTGTACAATAATTTAAAATCTTCAATGTATGATACATATCAAATCTTCTATCCTCAAGCATAATTATATTGAATATTATGTCAGTTGCATGCAATAAGAAGTATTGATGAGAATGACTTTATTAACACCTACATAAAATAGGAATGATAAATATAAACAATAAATGACAACATTAATTAACAGAATCTGCATAAAATGACAAGCATTAACAAATTCAATGGTGGTACAAATCTAACTACATAAAATAGGAACAATAAATATAAGTAGTAAATGACAACACTAATTAATAGAATCTACACAAAATGACAATTATTAACAAATCCAATGATGGTACAGATCTAATAAAAAAAATATATCACACACAGTCTTAGACTGATGTGGACTAGTATAACATTGTATCAGAAGGCAATCAAATAACTCATATCAAGTAAGGTTATCCACTTATCATACGAGGCAAAAATGTCGAAATATGATAAGATTTGTAATAATTCCTCAACATGCTCCATGGATTTATACAAAGTCACATAATCGCCTCAAAATCGAATAAGCTCTTTAATTAAATCTCATTGTACCTATTTCTAACCATCTAATCCCAATCCAAGCAACCTAGAAATGGAATGAAAACCACAATGTCCATCCATCTCAACATCAATGATACCCTATATAAACGTATCTAACTCAACTACAAACTATCCAAATATCACATTTTTCGTTTACCATAAGGTTAGTGAACAAGAAGTTTAACAATCTTTGTTGTCGATTTCACTAAGTTTGCAATGGTTGGTGGTAATATACTATATGAACTAATAACACAATGTTCCAGTGTGGCGAGTCACATCGTATAAAGGTATATGCTTTTATAGCTTTGCAACCTCTTGGCTTAGCCACATTTAATGGTGGCATCAAGGCAATTATGGATGAATCACCAAGTTCTGGTAG